GTCACAGGTAGTTCGATGAAAGTCACGGGTTCCCATGGACGTGAACCGTATGCATGCTGGCGGCTGCCAATAGACAGCTCGAGTGCCTTAAGTACGCACACGACCGGGGCTGTCCATGGGACGAGTCGGTATGTGAGTACGCCACGGCCAACAGCAACCTGGAGTGCCTTGGGTACGCCCGAGAAAAGGGTTGTCCATGGGACTTGTACGCGTGTGAAAAAACGGCCGAATAGGCAACTTGTGTGTCTGGCGTACCTTAAAGAGAACGGCTGCCTTTTTGACATGTCCACGTGTGACGAGGCAGCGTCAAACGGGCACGGCCAATGTCTGGAAAACGGTTGCGAGTAGGACGGACGCATTCCATGGTAATATTATCTCAATGTATTATCATGATAACCAAAAATTCATTGTCTATCCTGGTTGAAATCGAAATTTTGTATTTTTTCATTTTAATTCAGCTGAAATCGGGTTATGCAACTAAAGTTGGAGTTCATCCGAAGTTAACAGCCTCAGAAAATGACTAGACGGTTTTCAATAAAAGTGTACAGTGTAACCTTAGTGTAAATTTTAGTATATTGCAGTTGTTCATGATTTAGACATTTTATATAGCATACAATAAGACGTAATAGTTGAAATTAGATAACAAAAGTTTGAATAGACCCTGGTCTGCCTGTATAAAACTTGCTTTGGATTCTCATTTTTTTAGAGATTTAGAGACCATAGAAATCGACATTCAACATTGTTGTATTGATTTGTTGAGATTTTTAAAAATTGAGACAAAATCAAATATTATGAATGACAATATTGATTTAAACTATGACGGTAAGTCTAAATATAGCGTAGATAAATGATATGGTCTGTGCGAATATAACGCAAAAAGAACGACTGGTTAGCACATTTTAGTGTCGCACTATTTACCCTTTTTTACATAAATCAACCACTGATCCTTATTATTGATTTTAAATCAAAAGTTAAATACCACGCGGGTCAATCACCTTCATATCCGAGCCTGCAGTATACATACGATATCGATAGATAGTTATTTAACTATTTTTTTTTTTTTTCAACAAGTGTATACTCTCAATACAATATAATTATGACTGCCATTTACTTGCAAAATGTTGGTCCACACCAGAGGTTTAAATGAGTTCAATCGTCTTCTAAAGGTATTGGTATACACTATTAATTAATGTGACCAATGTTTATCAACAAGTGTATACTCTCAATACAATATAATTATGACTGCCATTTTACTTGCAGAATTTTGGTCCACGATAGAGGTTCAATCGTCTTCTAAAGGTATTGGTATACACTATTACTTAATGCGACCAATTTTTAAACAAATTAGTAGAAAATAACTATTAGGCTTGTATGAATAACCTTGTAAAATATTACTACATTAAAGTTTTAAAGTCAAAAGTTATACATTTTATAATTTTATTAACACAAACCAACAAAAAACCATAATGCAAATATTTATTAAGTAAATTATTGAATTCTATGAAATTAGGTATTACTCATAAGTCATGAATCAGGAATTAAGTAAATAATGTTAAATACATTAGCAAAATAGCAAATCTAGATATAAGTATCTAAAATATTCTGATTTGTTCCACTTTTCATTATGATATCATTATGGAGAATATGATTTAATAAAAACAATGATGTCACATTAGAAAACTTAGGAAATTAAGAATACACTTAGATTTGTGATGAAAAAGCTAATTTGAAATTTGAAATCCTAGATATGTATAAATGAACAATGACTTTTAGATATAGATATTTAGGTGCTGAAATAATTTGAATTTTTCCATTAAAGTAAAAATATATCATCAGACACAACAACGGCACAATATGAATAATATGGAGAATATTATTTAGTAAAAAAAATGTTGTCATGTTTGAAATCTTAGGAACCATGACTTTTAGAGAAATTAAATGTTGATTTTTCATAATAATTTACCATACATAGAATTGCAATGAAAAAGCTAATTTGAAATTTGAAATCCTAGATAGGTACAATAATGAATAATGGCTTTTAGATAAATTGAAGAATAATTTTATTGAGAATAATGACGACTATGAAATTTAAAAATGTCTTATTCAAATGGTTTCAACTTGTCTACATTTCAAGAATTTAAAAAATGTTTTAATTCTTAAAAAAGTAAACATTTTTCTTCAACTGTTTGAAGAAAATGGATCATATCCAATAAAACAGTTTTAATTTAAATCAATGGGCTAAATAAAAATTAAGTTAACTCATGAGTCAGGAATCGAAGTAAAATAATATTAAATACATTAGTATTATATAGATATTTAGGTGCTGAAATGAACTGAATTGTGCCACTTAAATACTTAATATAACACTGTATAAGGTATAATGTATTGATAATAGATAAGTAAATGTATTAACATTACCACTCAGAAAATAAAACTGGATTAAGCATTTTATATTATGTTATTCTTAGATATCTATCTTGCGTAGGTACGTAAATGTTAATACTAACATAATTAAATACGACTGAAGGCATTTACAAATTGATTAAATAATCAACTATACATATCCTCAAATTTTAACTAATGATGGTGATGAATACAAATATAATTTTTCTATGATACAAACAAGTACCTTCTTAGAGTAAATAGAGTTCTTAGAGTCTTCTGATGTCAGTTTAAAATAAATGCAAACATTTCCAGACGATAACAACCAGTTGACGAAAATTCAAACGCACTAACTACAATGACTTAAAAATATCAACCAGATTGAAATAATGAAATATTTAGATATTATTTATTTGAATTATATTTATTTAACTTTTAAGTTTAAAGCATTTTCGTGGTTTTAAGTGTTTTAACTGTCATATAAAAATTATGAAGTAAAAATTGACAAGCGTTATCAATTATCATAGAGATAGCACACGTGCACACGATTTATAGACCTAACCTTGGAGCTTGTATAGATTAGTATATCAAAGATAGGTACTATCACTGAGTAGCGCTATGACAATACTACATACTATACCTAGGTATACACGTTACATTGGTAAACATCAAATAATTTTAAGGTTATAAAATATAATATAATTTATCATTGATAAAATTATATGAAAGTTATAATATCAAACCTTAGATTATATCTGAGTATCAAACGGTATACTGTAGTACTTTGAACTGACTACTGTATACTGTAATAAATTGATAATTCGATACCCGGATTATTAAGGTCGTACAACGGAAGCACTTTTAGTATTATTCACTGTTGACATTTTATAAATTAACACCAATATTCAGATGTCGATAGCTCCTTCAATTATTATCACATAAATGTAAATGAACCGTCAAAATTCATTAAAAATTAAACTGTGCACGAATCATATTTCAAAAATATAGGTTCCCATTTGAATTTTAATAGTTGACCCTCAAACCTCCCCATCCTAATTAATAAAAAAAATATTTAATATCAAATTAATTTAGATTATATGATTCAAAACAGTTTTCACATGAGTCATTTTCCCCTAATTTAAATATATCATGCTGAAATCTGCTGTCACTTGAAATTTGGAACACCCTGTATATATTATTCTAATTCATTAATTAATTATACATTTCAAATTACATGTACTATGATTTATTACATATTTTCTTCCTGTACAACACAGTATGTGTGTAATCAAATCATTACTGTACGAAGAACAACTTCACCAAAGAGTGTAAATGTCCACGGCATTTTTTTGTGATGTATTAAAAACACCTCCAAAATATTTTTTCTGTTGTTTCACGTTCTTTTTGAAATAAGAAGAGATTTATATTTTAATATTATTCCTCCTTTTTGGCTGGTAATATACTCCATAATGCAAGCTGTGTGCCGTGTTATATTGTCAAACGGATAGTGTCGTATACTGTCTGTACGAAGCAAACCAATTAATGTTATCTAGTAACTAATCTTGCAAATAATAAAATATATTGCGATAATAATGACGCGCGAGATTATTGATGTGCTATGAAATGAACCGCGACGTTACTTCCGCGACATTATTTTTTTTTTTTTTTTTTTTTTTTTATTAATCAGAAAAATAATATTTAAGAAGATTACATATTAAATAAAACCTTAATTGATTTATCTTCTCCTGTAAGCTTACGCGTATTACCGCGACGTTACTTCCGCGATATTATTACCGCGACAATATTGTCGCGATAATTTGACGGTACACCTTTCGATACTATCTACTTTCTCTAGATGATTTCTAACTCTTTCTTTGTTGTAATTCGGCTTTTTATACTCGTTTTTCTTCCCAAAAATGAACTTTCTCTTCTAACTTCATACATTTTTTTTCTGAATAACCTGACTTCAGAATGACTAAGATGCTCTGATTTTGGGCATTTGCATAGTTCTTGTCGTATAAGTTTCTTTGGCTTAACGTTAAAATCGCTTGCTTCGCTCTTTAAAAGAGACATCACTGTTTAGTGATGGTTTCTTCAACTAATTCATCATGACTATTTTCACCATTTATTGAAATTACTGTTTTTAAATTGGCAGTTAACTTAACAGTGAGAGTGTGATTACGATTCATGCAACGAAAACTTTAGTTTTCTTTGGTTTTCTCTAAACTCACTAAATTTACAACTATTAATCGCAACACACTTTTTAAACATCAAAATGTTCACGTCCATAATTACAAAGATTAAATAATCTAGCCGATTGAAAATAAAAAAAGGAACTGAACATTAAAACATTGAAACATATGTCCTTGTAACTGGAGTTAACCGAACTTAATTCACAATAAAAGCATATAAAACTAAAAACCTTCCCTGTCTGGACCGTTTGGAGATCCTCGAAGATGCACTCACCGTCAGTGGTCTTGGGATTTCGGCCCAAGTGACCTCGTAGTTCGTCTCGTAGGCCGTCCCAGTTAGAGCGGTTTAAGATGATGTGGTCCGCTTTGTCTGAGCCACTCTGGCAGTGCATGCAGCAGTATCTAAGGGCGCATTCCACGCGGCACAGCTAACAATGAAAGCACCCGTGTCCGGTTACCACTTGCGTCAGGTGGTATTATCAATGGATCTTAGGGGCGTCCTATTCTTCTATCTTGCGATGTTCAGAATTAGATGACTGGTCCATGACGCCTTGGTGGATTCTGTCTATTTCCTTTTCCATTCGGCGATGGTGACCATCCTCTCCTCTTTCTTGATCTTGCATATCGAAAGTGGAGGGTTACCCGATTTCCACAGAAAAAACGTTTATGACATTATTATTTTTTCACATTGTTTTTACTTTCTTAACACGTTGATGGACAGTTTTGTGGCCGCAGTGGAAAAACAAACGATCTTTAAAACGTCAATTTTAGTACTGCTGTAGGGT